AAGCCCTTAAACCCTTAACCCTTAAACCCTAAGCCCTTAAACCCTGAACCCTTAAACCCTAAACCCTAAGCCCTTAAACCCTAAACCCTTAAACCCCAAACCCTTAACCGCAACCAAAAGGACTTCTGAAAAAGGTGACATCTCAAGCCCCAGACCTTTGGGTGGTAATAGAGGTAGGGTTTAGGGCTTAGGGTTTAGGGTTTAGGGTTTGAGGGTTTAGGGTTTAGGGTTTGGGGTACACTTGCAACATCATATAAGTTGGGTTTAGGGGTTTAGGGTTTAGGGCTTACGGTTTAGGGAATTGCAACATCATGTAAGTTGGGTTGAGGGGTTTAGGGTTTAGGAAGTTGCAACATCATATAAGTTGGGTACTGCCCTGACCCACTGAGAGCCTTGAACAAGGATGATCCTGGGGGTTCTATGCAACTGAAATATTTAAAAATACTCTGCAACTGTTACCAGTCTTGGGCAGTACCGTAAACCTTAAACCTTGGGTACTGCCCCCCCTCAGTAACAGTTGGATAATTATTATAATAAGGTTCTATATAGCCCTTAATAGGACCGCTAATATAGACTGTTACTGGGTGGGGGCAGTACCCAACTTAAACCCCAGCGAGACGCCCAAAACAGTCCAAGTTACCCCACATGGCCTTCTCTGGCCCTAGGACTCGGTAAGGGCCAAGATGGCTACGGCATTTCTAGGGTTTAGGGTTTAGGGTGGATTTGTGGTTCGGGAACACCTGAAGATAGAACCGATATCAACGTTATACTACAGACCTGTAAATGTATACGAAGGTAGGTGAGCTATAGTCGAAAGAACCCCTAGAGTAGTCCTCTTGATACTCGCCTATCTAGCCCCCTTTACGGAGTTTCGACTATAGCTCGCGCAGAGCAAGGATGTGCTTAAGACTGTGCTTAGATTTTCGCTTCTCCGTCCGTCAAAGTACTCGCAGCGCAAGATGATGTTCTCTCCCTCAAGTCTAGCATGGCATCCCATGAAGCCCATTTTAGAAAGGATAGAAATCCTTACAGCACCCTTCTGTGGATTTCATGCTAGTTTTATGAATGTACACCCCCCCAAGGCATGGGGAAAGGGATGCTCAAAAGTCAGGTTCTCTCTATAAGGCACTTCAAGAAGACTGGTTAAACCTGTTTCTGGGTTTGCTCCACGGCCACCCACTCCACGACGTTTCCCTTGATTAGGCTTACGTTGTGCTTAGGAAGGCCAGTTGTTAAAGGAACGCCATATTCCAAACCCGGAGCTCTAAATCCTCCACTGCATATATCCTTTCTCAAAGATCCGGCCTCCTACTGGTTGGCCGAAGTCGAAGGTACGCAAACACCCCTTATTTTGAGAAACACGCAGTCCAATAATTCAAAATCCATAAACCCAAGCACTCAAACCTGACCCCAAACCCTGGACCCTAAACTCTCGACCCAGACCCTACACTTCAAGTTCTAGACCCTACATCCTAAATTCTAGACCCTGAAACCTAAACTCTAGACCCCAAACCCAAAACTCTAGATCCTAAACCCTAGACGCTAAATAGTAGTTTCCATCTTCTTTTCCATTATCCCTCTATAACCCCAATATCACCCTCTATTACCCTAATATAACCCTAATATAACCCGATAGACCTAACATCACCCCAATAAACCCTAACATCACCCTGCAATATACCCCCATATTCTATCTACTTAGGGGGGACTTGAGCCACGGCCGCCGCGACTGGCTGTCGCAGGTGTAGGCCAACGGCATGATGCATAGGATCCTACAGCATCCCCCAGGGTTTAGGGTTTGGGGTTCAGAGTTTAGGGTTTAGGTTTAGGCGCCAGGTGCATGTACTCAAGAACACTAAGATGCTTGGGTTTTAGGGTTTAGGGCTTTAGCGCTTTAGAGTTCGATGCCTTAAGTTCAGGGTGTGAGGGGGGTGTTCTTGGAATAGCTGGCCCTTCTTGACCCTCGGGCTGTGCAGGCATTACACACGGAATATAAGCGGATCACGGCAATCCACCGTGAGGATTGTAGAGGGACAATTCTGAGAAACTTCTATGTTTGTCTGAATTTGGCAAATTCAGTTTGCGGGTTTAGGGCTGAAGGCGTAGGAAATAGGATTTAGTGCTGGCGTCCAGGATGTTAGGATGAGGCTTAAAGATGCAAAGCCCCGGCTAGGTTTTACAATCAAGAAACATGAATCGAAACCCTAAGCTCAGGATGCAGCAGCAAGAATTGCATGAGTATTAACCCCTATACGTCCCTGTGAAAAATCCCAGTTTCCATATGAGCTAGAGTCTAAACTAGTCGCATCCCCCCTTCATAAGCCTTATGATTGTCTCCTATATAATCACCTAGATCAGCCTCCTCGAAGGAATTTAGACAAACCTTATATCAATTCCTCTGCCTTTTTGAATTTGATTTTCATTATTGTCGCAATCTTCAGGCCAAAAAATCCGAACAACCTTCACAAACTGTAGTAAAGGCCCACACCGAGATTTTCCCTAAGCGTCCAAGGACCGAAATAACAGGGTTTGAGGGTCCAAATACTATGATATTAATAGTGCTTGCGTCCTAAAGCCCTATTATTTGGGTCCTTTGGAGTTTAGGGTTTAGGTGGCTTTAGGGTTTAGCGGGGTGGTAAAATGTTCCGGGTCCCTACACCCTAAACCTATATCCTAATTTACTAAACCTTAACACCTGCATGCCTGAAGATAGCACGAGATCCTAAACAGCAAAACCTGTATCCCTTGAAGACCTTTAAGGTTTACGGCTTCGGGTTTAGTGAACGACGTATCAAAGGAGCCCATACTTACAGAATGTACCTCGAATCTGATTTAAGGATCAGAGCTCCATATATCCTGTATTCCTCACTTAATATGCTTTGGGGGTTGGGGCCCTCTGAAAACTCCCGACCGTGAGCCCTAAACCTATATATAAACCCTATAACTAACTAATCCCAATACCTTCTATATATCTCTAAACCCTCGGTCTCACCCGCATTTTGCCCCCGGTAAGGAGGTTTCGGGGTGATGTCGAGGGGCAAAGCGTGCGGATACCTGGGATGTTTATCGGATTAGGGTTTAGGGTTCAGTCCGACGATTTAGGGTTTCGGGTTTAGGTGTAGGGCTGCAGGTATACCTGGGGTCTAGGTAGCACAATGGCCCCAAATCCACTTCTTTTAAAAAGTCCACACGACCATTGTTCTACATATTGCTGAGTCCAGGTGGGGCTTGAGGTAAACCGTAAACTCCAAACCCTTAACTCTAACTTAAACCGCGTAGCTAAGGTTTAGGGTTTGGGCTGAAAATCGCAACTGACATAAAGGTGCGTTCTTGCGATGAGGCTGCAAGCCTTCTTGCCGGCTGAAGCACGAATGCCCGGGACATGTGGAGCCCGATGGGGTCTATGAAGATTGTGTAGGCTTCATGTCCGGAGTTTCGATGAGTTTTGATGGGGTTTTGAGCAGTTTCTTTTAAATGCTGCTGGATGGTTTTGGCCCTCTATTTGAAGCCTGACGGATAGAGTTTAGGCTCTGTCAAAGGTCTTTGCAAGACTTTATTGTCCAGGTAGGGTTTTCCCTATACTACAGTAAGAACAAAGCCCTACCCTACAAAGGCTGACAAAGTCTTGACAGGGTCGCATTACCAGGATGAGTCCTCCTTTCGCCTCCTAGACCTCACCCTAAATCCTAAACCCCCAACCCCTGTTGAGGAATTCACCCCTCATTGCTCCTACTCCCTTCCCTCCACCACCATCATGAAACTTGGGCTGGCTTCAGCCCTTCGGCTACTGCATTTCTCATAAGATTACCATAAGCCAGACCACATATAGTCTGAAGGATACGCACTAAATCCCAAAACCAGGAACCCCGAACCTCACCTAGTTTATGCTGTAGTTTCCATGTTTTCTGTTGCCCTTTATACCCCTGTAAAACCCCTGTTACGGCCCTGACCCACACCTAGTTTAAGCAAAGCACTTGCTCCGGACCACCAGAAGGAGCTCGCCATAGCCGACTGCGAAAGTTGCCTCGGTCTTTACCGCCTCTCTGGTTCCTTCTTGGGACATGCTGAGAAGTTATAGCTCCATGTTCCTGAATGGGTTTTAGTGCAGGATCTGAGAACTATATTCTGAATGAGTCATACTGTAACTAAACAATCCTTTCTGGGGTTTGGTTGCAGAAAATGTAAGCTTTGTATCCTTTGTATAGGAAATGACCCAAGCTCTAAGACATTTTTTGGGGTTTCGGGTTTAGGGTGTATTCTTCCAAGTTTGAAGCCTAGGGTTTTCGTAATTCCGCAAAATTAGGGGTACCTTTTTCCCAGTAATAAGGATTAAAATATTTTGGTGTCCATATTGGGTTCCCCCTATTTTGGGAAACTGCCATTTAGGGTTTAGAACCTGGGATTTAAGGAAGCCCCGGCCGGCAGAGGAAGGGCATACCAGTGCGAAAAAGGAAAGCACACAACCATACATGAGCTATAGCCTAAACTCCTAGTAACCCCATTAGTAACCCTAGAAAAAAAAAGGGTTTAGGGATCGGGGTTTAGGGTCTAAACTCCTAGTAGCCCCTTTAATAAGCCCTATACTACTCCCCTATACCATACCCTATAAAATCCCCTTTAAGGAGTTGAGACTACAGCTCACATAGGGATTGTAACGGGTGAGGTCCTTATTAATGATCATGCAGGGCAATGTGGGGATTGTTTTGATATAACTCCCATTTTTACTTCCACATGGGAGAGTTCGGCAAAGAGGGGGCGCCAATATACCCTAAACCCTAAACCCTACCTAATTGATTGCATGTCATTGTGGGGGCTCCCAGAAGGGACCACAATTCTGCAAAACCCTAACCCTGAAGCCAACAACCTCAACCGCTAAAGCGGCCCGAAGCGGTCTAGGGTTCAGGGTTTACATGGAGGTTCATGGGACTTAGTAACTACTTATAACTGGGCTTATAACTGCGCTTATAACCCTACTTATAATTGTCTAACCTACACAAGTCCAATTAGGAGGGTTACATGTAGGGTTATAAGCCCAGCTTTAAGTAGTTACTAAGTCCCATGAACCTCCATGTAAGGCTTAACTCTACAGCAACCCCCAGCCCTATATAAACGTATACTCCACGCTCACTTCTCATGTCGAATGAAGATGGTCCAAGGCCTCCTAAGCAGCCCTTAATTGCTTTGAGCTATATTCTAAACTCCTAGTATCCTCCTTAATAACCCCTATAATCTTCCCCTGTGTAATCCCCTACATAACCCTCCCCCATTCAAGGAATTTAGACTATGGCTCATTTAGGGTTTATAGGGTCCAGGGTTTTTAGGGTTACCCTCCGAACTCGCACGGCACGACCTGAGTGTTCTTCAGATGTCCTCCTCTTCACTCCTAACAAAAGACTGCCTAAGCAGATCCCGACATTTCCTTCGTAAGGGCGTCCCTGATCTGAGAAGCATTTATTCGAAACCCTTTCGTGCGAGACAGTTGCTGCTGATGGCTTGTTCGGATTCACAGGGATGTAGTCGTTGGTGCCTACGTTGATCACCTGGAGCATGGGTCTACTCATGCACTCGAGGGTCCAAGTGCGCAGATATTGGGGTTCTGGGTACTAAAGACCATCCAATTTCTGGTATTTGAGACTTTCAAGCCCCACTATTTGGGTAGTTGGACCCTGGCACCCACATCTCCCCCTATATCCCTGGCATATCTCTATTATATAATTATATACCCCTGAGCACCCCCAATAAAACCTGCAGTATTTCGGTCCGTGGACCCTCCAGGGCACGAAGACTCGAGTGGACGGACTAAGAATCAGGACGGGTTAGGGTTCAGGTTCCATGGTTTAAGGTTTCAGGGTTTAGGGTTTAGGGTTTCGGGGTTTAGGGTTCAGGGTTTAGGGTTCAGGGTTCAGGGTTTAGGTTTCAGAGTTTTGGGTTCAGGGTTTAGGGCTGAGGGCCGCTTATAATGCGCTTTGATTATTCTGGGGGTTGTTGAAGTCGTGGCCTTTGTTGGCATTGAGAATTCTCCTACGGGCCTATTATAGAGAGTACCCAAAGAACCATAATTTCAACAACCGTTTAATTAAGTCCTAAACCCTAAACCCTCATAAGCATCAGTTTACACTCGAAACCCGAAAGCCCCTGGCCTAAATCCCAAGCAAAAAACCGTAAAGCCTAAACCCTACGCCCCTCACCCCTAACCCCAAAACCCACAATGCTAAACCCTAAACCCTAATCCCTAAACCCCTGACTCTATCTAAACTCCAACTCAAACCCCAAAACCAGGCATGCAGCGTTCAATGCTTGCGGTTGGGGATTCTGGATTAGGGTTTAGGGTTTAGGGGATGAACCTGTTGTTGAAAGATATCCCGGCCAAATCCATCTTACAGTTCTCCAACCCTGGCCGTTCTGGTAGTCAGGATATGTGACGCGCGAGATTTAGAGTTTTGATTTTGGCATGCTGAACAAAGCCAAAAGCCCCAACCCTAAACGCGCGCTAAAACTCAAAGTTCAAATTCGGTGAGGCGCCACCACATCTGCCTGCCACTTGTTGAAGTCCCAGGGATTTGGGCAACACCTGGGACGCTCCCTCAACCCTAATCCCTGAGCCCTAAACCCTAAATCCAACTTGAGGATTTAGGGTCCAGAGGTTTTGGGGTGGGTCCCCTGCTTGAAGTAGGGAACTGGCAATGAAAGCATGAATCTGTATGGCTGTCCCCGGGCTGTCCCCCCTAAAGCCTAAACCCTACACCCTAAAACGCGTAGGTTTGGGAAATTCCTTATGATACTACCTGTAAACCATTCACGCATTCCAGACTGCGCACCAGGGAGCTTAGGAGGTCTCTGCTGGGTTTAGGGTTTAAACTCTGGGCTTTAAAGGGGACTTCTGCGAGGCTCTGGGTGCCCTTAATCGCGAGGCTTACCTTCCCATCCATGTAACCCTCATATGAAATGCCAGCAAACCCCTAATCCTGAATATGCCCCACTGTGTATAAGGAATCTTAAAGGGGTTGCTAAACACTGTATCAAGGAGGTGGAAAGGTTAAACCTGTCATAGAACTGTAAGGAGCATAAACTCACTTCTGAAGTCCTGCTAATTCCTGAGCCCTGGTAGAAAAGTTTAGGTTTTCGTGGTTTTGGGTTTAGGGTCTAGGGGTTTAGGGTTTAGGGGTTCAGGGTCTAGGGGTTTAGGGTTTGGCATTAAGGGCCTCCTACGAAGCCCTGAACCTTAATCGTTTGGAGTTTAGGGTGCGCGGTTTCAGATCCAGACAGCTTAATGCTCCTCACTAGAAGGAATACGCCGTAAGTCATAATAGGGCTCCCTGCATGCCTCAACATGTACTCCTTAGTAAGGCGTGGCTTGTGGGATTAGGGTTTAGGCTTGAGGGGTTTACAGTTTGGGGTTCAGGGCAGAAAAAGGGTTCTCTGTGAATACACAAAGTTGATCCTTCAAGCCTACACCCCCATCCCTATAAACCACAATCTCTAAGCCCTGTTCTATATCCCATCCCTAACCTCTAGTCTACATCCTAAAAAACCCTAAACCACCCAAACGCTGATCCCAATCCCTCAAGCCCATGAAGCCGAGCAACTGCGAATAGCTGAATTCTGAGCAAAGGAATCGATCCTTGATGCGATGGAACTGCAGGCCATAAGCCTCTGCTTGTGGTTCAGGGTTTAGGATTTCGGGTGCTTAGTGGCTCTTGGAACTTCATATGCCTGCTGAAGATCCACAATAACCCTACTGCCCCAAAACCTCAAGTGCCAAGCAAAGTTTCTAAAAGGGGTTGCTAAAGGGTTTAGAGTTGAGGGTGAGTTCGAAAGAGTGTCCAAGATCAGGTTCCTTTTGGTTTCAGGTTCTTGGGATTAGGGTTTATACAGCTAAGCCTTAAACCCTAAATAACAAGGATTTGAAACCTTTTAAACCCTAAACCCTCAACCGCTAAGCTTAAAGCTGACCGATGATTGGAGGGGAGATCTCCTGGTTTCAGGGTTTGGCGTCCCTGGTCCTGTTTACCCGTCTGGTGTCGGCCAGGAAGGGCTTCGGGTCCCGAGGGCCCATAGGAAACTTACCTTTGCTCAGCGGAATTTTGGAATTTTGTTTGACTGTTTTTTTGGTGATTTTTTTCAAAAACCACTTTTTTGATGTTTCCCCGAGGAGCTGCCATTAATTTTTGTAGGGCCGAAAGATAACGTTGTCATG